TCTACCCAGCCAGTCCTGTCATTGTAGAAAGCTATCAGATTGGTCAGGCATGATTTCGCTTTGGTGAATCCATGCTGACTACTCCTGATAACCTTCTTTTCTTCCACTTGCTTGATGATGGCCTCCAGGATAAGCTGCTCCATCACCTTTCCCGGGATGGAGGTGAGGCTGACCGGCCTGTAGTTCCCTGGGTCCTCCTTCTTGCCCTTTTTGAAGATTGGAGTGACATTGGCCTTTCTCCAGTCCTCGGGCACCTCTCTTGTCCTCCAGGACCTCTCAAAGATGATGGAGAGTGGCTCAGCAATGACATCTGCCAGCTCCCTCAGCACTCATGAGTGTGTTCTGTCGGGGCCCATGGATTTGTAGGTGTCCAGATTGCTTAAGTCATCTTTCACACCGTCCTCCTCGACCAAGAGAATGTTGTCCTTTCTGCAGGCTTCCTCTCTTACCTCCAGGGCCTGGGATGCCTGAGGGCCTGCCTTGGCACTGAAGACTGAAGCAAAGAAGGCATTCAGTAGCTGTGCCTTCTCTGTATCCTCCATCACCAGGACACCCACCTTGTTCAGCAGCAGCCCCACATTATCCCTAGTCTTCCATTTGCTGCTGATGTACTTGAAGAAGCTTTTCTTGTTGTCCTTGACATCACTTGCCAACTTCAATTCCACATGCACCTTGGCCTTCCTCGTTGCATCCCTGCATGCTCTGACAACATCCCTGTGCTCCAAGTGGCCTGTCCCTCTTTCCATATTCCATGGACCTTTCTCTTCCATCTGAGCTCTACTAGAAGCTCATTGGTTATCCATGCAGGTCTCCTGCCTCCGTTGCTAGATTTCTTGCTCGGGGAGGCACTGATCCTGAGCATGGAGGGAGTGATGTTTATACAGCGACCAGCTCTGTTGGACTCCCCTGCCTTCTAGAGCCCTGACCCATGGGATTTCTCCAAGTAGGTCCCTGAAGAGGCCAAAGTTAGCTCTCTTGAAGTCCAAGGTTTTGATCTTGCTTATCACCCTGCTTCCTCCACGCAGGATCCTGAAGTTCACCATTTCGTGGTCACTGCTGCTGAGGCTGCCCCCAGCCTTCACATCCTCAACCAGTCCCTCTTTGTTCATTAATACAAGGTCCAGCAGAGCGCCTCTCCTCGTCGGCTCCTCCTCCATTTGCATCAGAAAGTGATCATCGATGCTCTGTAGGAACCTCCTGGACTGCATGTGTCTGGCTGTATGGTCTTCCCAGCTGATGTCAGGGTGGTATTCAGCTGATTGTTGTTTCCAGTGGAGTTTCACAATCTTTCTGAAAACTGACTTAAATTTCTCCTTTTATCTTACATTTTGTGCTGGATAACAGTAGCTTAAAATGACTGAAATTAATTCAGTTACGTTGATGATTTAAAAAAAAAACTCTGTTTATAACAGGATTATTATAAGGCTTTGGAAGATGCAGATGAAAAAGTGCAACTGGCTAATCAAATATATGATTTGGTAAGTAGACAGAAGGCTTGTGGTGAATTACCTAAATTTATGCTGTAAGGAGTTCTGAACATTTTGATAAGCACTGCATCTGTGCTACGTGTACTGTTATGTCAGCTACATACAGACATTTTTGCTGGTGAAAGAAACATTTCATATTTTAATGACTTTTAAGAATTTTGTTGCTTTGAGTAGTAAGTGTCACTTAAATACAAAACATACAGAAATAAATTTAGAATTCCTAAGGTTTTAGTGCATGTTGATTTTGTCTTAGTTATTTTTTTTCAGAAAAGAGACCACGAGCAAGTTACTCTTCCTTACAGCATGAGGATTTTGATTTTTAAGTATATTTATTTTACATTTTCTCAGAGAACAGAACCTGCAAGTCAGACTGCACTAAAATATAGTAGACATAAACCAAATATTTCTTGTACGCTTTAGTTCCACTTCAGCTAACCAAAAATTAGTTCCAAAAGTTGGAACTTACCCCCTTGCGTTTGTTTAGCTGATAACTGCAAAAACCTGTTCAATTTTTAATAGTTTAGAGATAGGTGCAGTATTCTGCTGTATGACTGCAGATGGAGAAAGCGTTTGAAACACAGTCTCTCTTTCCATGATACTAAGTTGTTTGTTTTTTTTAAGGTAATTTTCTGTACCCAGGAGCATGTCATATTTTACTCAAACGCACGGGAGTCTTTGCATTTTCAATTTAGAGACCCTTTTACTCAATACTTGAGCTTACTGATGTGTATAGTGGCATACAAATTACATTTCAGTGAACTTGCAATTTCACCATGCAGCCTTACCTCTTCTGAAGCGCATGTCATGTACTGTTCTTTCTCTTCCCCTTGCTATACCCATACACACAATACCCTCAAGTCCTCTTAATCTTTGTTCTCGAAAGAAACCCTTAATGTTGTGTCTTGGAACACTGGCTGCAGTAAGAGGAGAGCTTTTAGCTGCTGAGCCAGTAAGCAGCCTTATTGTATCCTGTGATTGACTGCGCAGCTTAGGAGCAGCAGCGCTGTTTTGGTGTTAATTCTAGTATCTCTGTTGAGTTAGGGAAATGTAGGTGACTGAGAAGTTACGCTTTTGTGGGTTTTTATACGTGCTTAGTGCTGCATGGCAGAGAATTGTTAGAAGGGAAATATTTAGCAAGCCTGAGGTTAAGGGTGTAGATACTCATGTTCCAGAACTGGGTGCTATTTATTGTTGCTTTATCTCAAAAACAGGTAGACCGACATTTGAGAAAATTGGATCAGGAGCTTGCTAAATTTAAAATGGAACTTGAAGCAGATAACGCTGGAATTACAGAAATACTAGAGAGAAGTAAGTGTGCGTGATTTTCTTTAAGAACTTAAGAGATGTTCTGTCAATTTGCAAAATTAAATTACCGTAATCTTGTTAGTGGCCTGCAGTATTTTCACGGTTCCAAAATTGTGTTTTGGCTTGCATACTTTTCATCAGTCAGCGATTCTCAAATTTTAGTTTCATTCTCAATTTTCACCAGTGAAGTCAAAATACAACTGAGTAATTAGAAAAGGGTTTTTTTGCACAACTGTTGCACTAGTAGATTGCTACAGTAAGGTACAGTATTCTTTAAACCTGTTTCTAGTGACTGTAGGGATTCAGGCAATTACTTCAGCCTAAGCTTGCTGCCTGGCCAGTTGAAAGCGTACCATTTCTTACTTGAATTGATTGTCACCAAATTGAGGGGGGTTGTTATTTTAGTTATAGATGTGGAATGTCAAGTGAAGTTAGGTACTTGGTCATTTTCTTTGTTTAAAGGGGAGAAAATGGTTGTTTTGGAGTAGAGTAGCAAGGGAGAAGCATTTTGGGTAAGAAACCTGTGTGCTGTGCTAGTATTCAGAATGTGAACAAAAACGCAGTGTGGCACCTTTTTGGCCAGTTTGGTGTAGAAGGATCTGGCCTTTCTGTACGCATCAGCGTTTAGACATCAAGTTCAAATGTGATGATGATAAATTGCAAAGTTGATTTAACAACTGTGATTATGGAGCTAAGAGGTAGCGACTGTTGTTCATGCCCAAGGACGGTGAAAAGTAACCCAAATCGCTTGAGGAGATTAGGAATAAATATTCTTTCTTTGAACTTTGTATGGCTTTGTCATAAAAGCTGGGAGGTTTTGGATATTTTATTTGTAATTCTGTTACAAAGAACAGGCACAAAAGGAAAACTGCAGAGTAAGTGCTTTTAATGAACTAGCAACTACAGAAAAGGATTAGTTTATTTTAGTTGGAAATCCCAGCTGCAGTTTTAAGATGTGATACTACCTTCAGTTGAGCTACGTGTTTGGTGAGGCAGGTAGGCAGAATTTCAGGAACTCAAAATAGGAGTGTACTAGGTTGCATATTGCATCTTGAAGGTTTGTTTTTGTTTTGGGGGATTTTTTTTGAAATAGAAGCCTCGTACCATTTTTAGCTTTCAGTGTGAATGCACACTGTTGCGGTTCCGCCAGAGGGCGGCCGTTGGACGAGCACGTCACAGCACCGACGTTCGCTGAGCCAAAATACCCACAGATGCTTTGGGCCTCTTCTGGAATAATTGTCTCTAAACTTTTGTAATATGCTCATGTACTTTTTGAAAGCGCTGAACAAGAGGTAAACAAATATTGAAGCTATGGATTTTGGAAAATGAACGTGAATTACTGTCTTGATTTATCTTCTTTATAAATGTAAGTTGGTGGGCATTGCAGGTAGTTCATAATCTTTTTGCCAAAGATTGATACACAAACTGTTGTTTATTAGCCTAATGGAAGTTTATGGTCAAAGTTTTTTTCTGAACGTTAAGACAATTTGGATAATGATCTGAAGCCGTCCCTGTTGAATGTTAGATCGTCTTGAAGGACATTACTAGTGCTTGTGTGTTTTCACTTAATGGGACAAAATGGACTCAGTGGGACAAGATGCTGCTTTAATACAGCTTACCTGTTGCGAGCTTCATTTCAGTTCACATTGATGTAGATTGTCAGTACTTTTGGTGCAGCATTCTCCAGCCGTCACCAGCTTGCGTGCAACGTGGCTGTTGAGAGCCATGTTGTTGTTTGTTCTTCTTACTGGCCTTGATTTTAACTTGGTTTCAACAGCTGAACAGCAGCAGTGACTAATTTTTATTTTAAAAGTGTTGTAACTGGCTCCTTGTTGTACTGCAGGAAGGGTTTCAGCTCAGCAAAAATCCTTCTGATTAAAATAAATATAGTTGCTTAGTGATTTGGTTAACATTATAAAGATTAATGTAGTATCTATAAGTCAAAACCACGCCAATGATGACTCTGAAATTTTCCTATCCTTTTTCACTCCCTTTTAGGGTCTCTGGAGCTGGATACACCATCACAGCCTGTCAATAACCATCATGCTCATTCTCACACTCCAGTAGAGAGTAGGTATTTGAGACTTAAAAGCATACCCCCTTTTCATGTTTCCTTTTTTTTTTGTTGAAAAGTATGAGGAAAAAAAATGTTCAGAAGTTTTTTCTTTCTCTCCAAACATTGTGGGAGGGAAGGCATAATGCAATGATAATAATGTCTGTTCAGAAGAAGTGCAAGAATGAAATAATAATGTTTTGATGGTGAGAATTAGTTGAAAGTGCTGTTTTATTATGTCTAGTTAGAGTTTAACTTTCAATTTGAAAAGGTTTTGCAGTTAAGTTCCCATTATTTGTTTCATCTAGAAAGGAAACACAATCCGTCTTCTCACCATAGTGCAACAGATCATGTTCCTGAAAAGAAGTTTAAATCTGAAGCTCTTCTATCTACCCTGACTTCAGATGCTTCTAAAGAAAATACACCAGGTAATCTTAATTGTCTTGCATTTTTGCATTGCTTTTTTAATCGGAAGAAGAGAAACCCAATTATATTTGTGAGTTACTGTCTTTTGAAATCAGAGGCTCATACCCTTTTCCTCTGGGATTTTCAGTCATTTCAAAGATGAGAAATTGCAGGCATTGTTACTCATCTGTGTTGTCCATGAAGCACATCAGCTTTGTTGTCATTTAACAGCTGCGTGTTGGCTGTTTCTTTTCATTTACACTGCTTGGAAGAAGATAACAGTACAGTTTCAAGAGATCAATGCATTATTATTTTGGGAAAAACAAACACATGCAACATTCCAAAGTAAGGGAAAAGAATTTTCACGCTTTTTTTTTTCTAAGGATTGGTCTAATGTGGCATTCGGCTACAATAAAATAACATTCTTCTGCATGTTGTCTCTTCCAAAAGAGATGAGAAGTCTTTCTGAGTAGTGAGTAAAAAAAACCCCCACAACTTTCTGCCCATTTTCAAAATGAGGATGTTCCGTAGTTTGTCTTCTGAAAATAAAAGACTGTGAGAGGTTATAGTAAGTAAACTACCTTACGTTTTGGTATTTAGTCGTGTTCATCAGTTTTAAGTAGTCTCCCTCATATCCATTTTACTTTTGAAGAAACTTCATATGAAGAGATGGCAAATAAAATGTAGTTTGAGCAGCTGTCAGTCTGTAGATGGCTATGGAAATCAGCGTTACATTAAAACTGTGATTTGTAGTTTCTAAAATTAAGATTGTTAAAAGTTTTACTTCAGAAGCAGTATAGATGTACAGTCAAATTCTTACTCTCTTCTTGATGGTTACAGTGGTCAGCCTCATTTCAACAGAGATTGGGTTTATGTAGACACAGACATAGCAGCTGCATCTGTTCTTCGATAGCTGAATATGGAATTGAGGTCTTTTTTTCTAAAAGGACTCCTTGCACGTGAGGATAGATGGGGAACAAACTTTTTTTTTTTAAGCCAGTACTGGGTGTGTCAAATGACTTTTTAAACTTTTTTCCAAATGATCAGGCTGCTCTGGTGCATAGATGGAGTTCCTGTCTTTCACTGGTTGTCATATATAACTCTTCTTAAAATGCAAAGGAATTTAGTTTCATTTTGAATTTCATAAATGTGTTCTGTTCATCAAGGGTGTCGAAACAGTAATTCATCATCCTCTTCAAACAATGCATACAATACAAACTCTTCTCAACCATTGGCATCATATAACCTGGGCTCATTATCTTCAGGATCCGGGGCCGGTGCAATTACCATGGCAGCAGCTCAAGCAGTGCAAGCCACGGCGCAGGTAATGTCAAAACATTCTTGTCATTCTCCCATCCGCTATTGATTAAGAAGAAAGACTAGTGATTTTTTTTTTTTTTAAATCTGAATTCCCATGGTCACTTTCAGCTGATGTGATTCAGTTCCCTTATTATAATTTTTGTTTATGTGCTACAGTTTCAGCATGTAAAACTTGCATAAAGGACAGCTTGTTTTCTAGCTTTTCCTGTGGGATACTCTTATGCCTTTTTACCACTTACTGTACATCATTTTGTTAACAGGGTGACTAATGAAGCTGTGCAAATAATAAGCAGTTAGCAGCCTCGTATGTCTTCTGTAAGAGCTCTGCTGTGTAATCTGATACGATATTAGTATTCGTTTTAGATGAAGGAAGGGAGGCGAACATCCAGTCTAAAAGCCAGCTATGAAGCATTTAAGAACAATGATTTTCAGCTTGGAAGAGAATTTTCATTATCCAGAGATGCAACTGGATATTCATCATCAGCTCTGGCGTCTACGTTAACACAGACATTAAGTTCATCAACCACAGATTCACGAAGTGGCAGAAAAAGCAAGTAGGTTTTCTTACTTGTTGACAGCAATTACAGCTTTTAAGACAGCTAAGCTTTCTTTTAAAGGTCATGGGCCATATTAGAAATACTTCATGTTTAATATGTGGGAGGGGGAGGGTCAGCAGAAGGTAGTTATTGCCTGCTGGCCTTTTTTTGTTCCGGCTTTCTTCTTTTCTTCTCTCACTTTTTTGTGCTGTACGCAAACTCACTCCAAGGTTTTAAATAAATGTCTTGCTTTGCGTTTTCATCTGTGATATAGTCTAGTGTCTTCCCCCATTTTTCTGTGTTCTGGAGAGAAGATGTGGCCTAACAGCAAAAGTTGGGAATTACTATACTTTTGTAGATGGTTTTGAAATAATCTGGAGATCTGCTTCGTGACACTTCGAAAATAATCACTACGTTTTCTGATGGCTGACCTTCTAGGACAGGAAACAGAATGACTTTTATTTCTGTTGAAAATGAAATTTAAAAGCATTTTAAATAACACAATGTCACAAGACATTGTGACAGCAATTACAAGTTGTACTTGAAAAAGTTTGTCTCAGAATGCTCATCCTTTCAAACTGACTTGCGTGTTTTTCTTCATACTAATTTGTGTTTGTTCACAGCTCAGTTTTTGCCTTAGAAGCATTTGTCATCTATGGATATCTTGGGTGTCAGATCTGACCTATAAGCTAAAGCATAGACTTTGTATTCTGGCACTTCCTGTGGAGTGATTGGTGGTGCTTGAGTGGAGGTTAACATAGAATCAGTCATCTTCAAAACACAGCTATCTATTCTACATGGCACATGACATTATTTATATGCAAATTCCTGTTTTATTGATAGCATAATTTTTACAGGGACTTTACACCAGGCTGTTGATGGAAAATTTTGTGAAGAAAAACATTGATTAAAGCCATTTGGCAGTTTAAAGCTGTTAAATTCCATTGATTAGAGTAGCCTGTCTTGCACTTGCAAGCTGGTAAGATTTGTTTCCAAAGAGCATTTAGTGGGTCCATTTCAGTTCTTCCAGCTGTTGAATGAAATCTATTAGGGAATGATGCTTTGGGATTTACATACTGCAGTATTTCAGAGTCAACAAAGTGCTTGCTTTCTGATCCTTTCACTAGCAAGAAATTATTTGAAATTATGATATGCTATTTTTTACTTTTTTTTTTTTTTAGAAATAACAACAAATCCTCAAGTCAGCAGTCCTCGTCATCTTCCTCTTCTTCGTCTCTGTCATCGTGTTCTTCTTCATCTGCACTGGCACAAGAACTGTCTCAGCAAACAGCAGTAATACCAGAGTCTGATTCTAATAGCCAGGTTGACTGGACCTATGATCCAAATGAGCCACGTTACTGCATTTGTAATCAGGTAAGGATGGCTTCCAACCTGAAATATAACTAGAGCTGCCGTTTTGCTTAGTTGAACATCCTTCTCTGATTGCTATTTTAGAAACATTCTGTTTGCAGTTTTGAAATTCTGATCTGTTTTTTATTTACTTACTGGTGATATGAATAATGAACTCAACTGTTGAAGCTAAAAACGAGCAAGTTTTTCAGTGATGTGACGTACCTGGAGAGTTTTAAATCTTTTAATTAAGACTTCAGGAGTAATTAAATTAAGAATTGAACAGATTCACAGTGAATTTAATTGACATTTTAATTCTGTAAGAAATTTGCCTGGTCTTTCCTACTTTACTTTAAAAAACCCACACAAAACCAGAACCCAAAAAACCTCACAAACTCAAAAAAAAACCCCCAAACCAAACAAAAAACTAGTTTTGTAAAAGCTGTCCAAAAGCTTGAGAGACTGAATGACAGTATAAGAAACTGTTATTTAGCAACACCTTTTTAAACACTTTTAAGAATGTTGGCTTTTTTTAGAGTTTATAGAATTCTCTAATTTTCTTGGAAGTATTTGATTGTTTCAAGTAGAGTGCTTGAAATTGTCATGTATGCAAGGGAAATGCCAGATGTCAATATAATCTTGAGAACTGGACTGATAACGTACTGAGCACTGTTGTTTAGAACAAAATGTGCTTCGTTCAGGTTTTGAATGCTGCCTTTTTTCATCCAACCTGAAATATGCAGAAGTTTTTGGGTTTGGTTTTTTTTTTTTGCATAAAAAAATTCTGAAAGTCAGTTTGCCATGAACATGTTCTTTGGGTTATGTAACAAAAGAAAAATCAAAATATTGTTGCTGCTGTTAATGGAAAAATTCCTCAGAGGAAGAAACTTTAGTCCTTTGAAAATGTTTATTGCTTTTAATTAGTAATATAATTATTAATAAGGGATTTTTTTCCTTCTTTACTAGGTGTCCTATGGTGAAATGGTAGGCTGTGATAACCAAGATGTAAGTAACAAAGTTCAGAAGGTTCAGGAGAGGCTTGTGCATGTAACTGCTGCCTGCAGGGGTTACTTTTCTTTAGAGTTGATGTGCATCTAAGTTGAACCACGCTTCAGGAAACTCTTCCTGATCTGTCACCACGATTCAGATTCTTTTAGAAGGCTTCACCCTTTTCTGGGAAGGTTTGACATCTTTAAAATGCCTTTTATTTCTAGGAACTCTTAACTGTATCACTTCTACTATCAGTTGTCCCCTTCAAATAAAAGAACAGTTGAATGTAATAATGTACTTACTGACATACTACATTTAAACAGAAGTGAGTGATAAGATTATTTTTGTGTCGCTTAGTGTTGTCAAACTAAGTATTTCGAAGCACAGCGTACTTCTTTTGCTCTGTTACGTGAGTCCATATATGACTCCTAGGGTTTTTAGGAGTTTCCGTAGTCTATTGAGCGTGTGTCAGGGACTGAGATCCTCCTCTCTTCTTGTTTTGTCCCGTGCCTGTGCAAAAAGGAGAATCTATGCTTTTTACTCATGTGTTGTTTGCTTCGAATTGTATTTGTGACCGGTGTTTTGGAAAAAAAAAAAAACCACAAAATCTGAATCTTTAACTCTGTTTTTACAGTGCCCTATTGAGTGGTTCCACTATGGATGTGTTGGACTGACAGAAGCACCGAAAGGGAAGTGGTACTGTCCACAGTGTACAGCTGCAATGAAGAGAAGAGGCAGTAGACATAAATAAGTTCCTTCATTTGGAAAACAAATCGCATACTAAAGGTTTTATAGAGGACTTGGGAGGGGGAGGAACCCCCACCACACTTCCTTGCAACCACTTAAGGGTTAACATAGCAGTCATAAGATCTTGAAGTATTGATTTTGCTAGTTGTGTTTTAATATTGTAAGTAAATTATTTATGCACATTGATGTGCTACAGATACTATTCCAGTGAGCCTTGGATTGTTCCAGTGGCCAACATATGCAGACATTTGTACTATCAGACCATTTTCTCTAAGCAGTGGGCATTCTACAATTATTCAATCTTCAAAAAATTCCGATAAATCAAGATTTTAAATGTATGTTTTATATTCAACAGATATATTCTGCTGCATGTACTGTACTCAAGAGCTGTTATGTAACACTATGTATATAAATGGTGCAAAAAGTCAGTGCTTCTGGAAAAGAAAATGAAACAATGGTTTTTAAGATGCCTTTATAACTTTGGTTCTTTATGAAACTTAATTCAGCAGGCTGAAGAAAATGGTTCTTGTATACAGCGGGCTGTTGTCCTCTAGGGTACTTGAGTAAGTAAAAACATAAAAAATGCTGTAGAATAAAACAAACTTGTGCCATTAGTCTTTATATGTTTCTGCTCCAGAGAAGGCGCAGGCCGTGAGAGGAAAAAAAGGTGTTAAAGTGATGATAAATTTTTATACCAAATGTGTTTATTTTTTTGTGCAAGTAATCCTTTAAATTTGAATTGTATTAGGTGTTAAAATAAAACAACCTCAACTCCTTGAATTAATTTTCTGTACATTTGTGGGAAAAAAAGGTTTGTCCCTGAAATGGTTTCAGGAGAATATAGCTAAATTTGTATAAGAAATTGCTGTACATGACCCACGTGGAGGGTCGTTGTACAGCAGGACATTTCTGTGGTGGGTGGATAACTAGTACACGTATAGGCAAATGCTGAAATATCGTTTGCCTTGATGTCTCTGTCTCCAGACAAGCAGTGGCACTTGCTTAAATGGTTGCAAAAGTTCTGTTTTCCATGTGGTTAAAATAAACAACAACCCCTACTGTGCGAAGAGATACGCAGAGGCAGGATTGCTTTCCTGTTTTCGTGGCATGGATGGAAATAGGAAAGGGAGAAGAAAACCACGGTAAGTGTGTCTTGCAGCTGCCATATTGCGTTCTGGACAGTGATTTTCATGTAAAAACCCACACACGGTTCAGGAAAGAAGAAAGGGAGAAATAGTTTGTCCTGCTGTAGAATCCCTAGGGCAGCAGGGAGGATCATGTTAGGGAGGCTAAATGCAGGCCGGTAAGTGGCTGGGTCTATGGGTTGTACACATTGTAGTACAGGATAAGAAACCTGATCTTTAAGTTACACCCTTGACCGTGAATATGATGGAAAGATTTTCTCTTTTTTTTTTCCCTGTTTGCTTATTTTGGACGGAGTTTGGTATGTTTCCTTTCACCGACAATTTCCTTTTGTTGTTTTTGTATGGTGCTCTCATGCAGCAGCACTGAACAGAAACAAAATGAATACTCCTTTTTTCTCCTTCCTCTTTCCTTCCAGTACTAAAAAAAAATACACTTTCCCTATGGAATAAAGATTTTACTTTAGCATTGGGATGGTCTTTGGGTTGTCAGGCTGGAGGACCGTGGCCTTGCTGCGGTAGCTTTCCAAACCCGTGCAGAGGAGGAGAAGAAAGGGAGAGAAGCAGTCTTTCATTGCATGACTGCAAATAGTGTCAAGGAAATTTCAAAAGAGTTACGCTCATTAGTAATAGGAGTATGTGCAGAAAATGCAGGCTTTACCTAAGCCAAAACGAAGCCAGGCTTCTGTCATAATGTTTATTTGAAAAAGAAAAAAAATAGGCATTTTAAATCCAGCAACTGGGGAGAAGTAGATGAGAAAGAAGGAAATGCGATAATGGATGATAAATGGACTGGTAGAAGAATAGGACAGAAGTTGATGAAAATAAACAGCAAAGAGCAGTGTAACCGAGGTTCCATTAAAAGTGGGAAATGAACCCACTGTGTATGTATTTCTGTGGAAATCTCAGTCTAAAAAAAACACTGGAGGACCAGAATATCTGGTTTTAAGTGAGGCTGTTGAGACAACAGAGATAACAAACTATTTGTTCTCTTAGAAACTGGTGCCGTGCTTTGAGTTGAAGTTAAATAAGCAACAGGTAATCTAGATTCCCCTTGGACGGAATGTCTAAGTCTCTAGGGCTAGGAAGTCTGTTGAGAGTTAAGACCATATTCAGCAAAATCCCTCGCTCTGGTGGTAACCACACCAAAGATGGTACAGAGACTGGAAAGCCAAATAAAAATTTAAATTTTTAGTGTGAGCACTGATTTGTTGTTCTGTTGGACAATATAAATTATTTTTTCATGGAAGAGCTAATTAGAGAACTCACAAGAGGAAAAAAATTTACCTTTGTCCTCATTAGTACATGAATATTTTGTGTCTGAGTTAAGACAATAGGCAAATGTGGAAAAAAGCAATCATAAGTCAAAGAACTGGAACAATAAAACCTGTACGTACTTTTGTTTTGTTTTCTTTTAAGCAGGAAGCCTGTGAGAGAAGCGTCAGAGTCAGCATGTGATTATGGTGAAAAAAGCACTGAAAATTGACAAGACAAGCCAAATTATTTTTTTGCTGTGCAAGAGGTTAAGACAAATTTGAACGCCATGGCCCTCTCTGGAGGTTGCTGGAGGGTTGCTCTGGAACTGAGGCACCTGCAGAGATGGGTCTGCAGCAAACTGGTGGGACCAAACCTGCCTGAGAGTTCTAGAAAAACTCACAAATTGAGTATCTGAGCAATTTTTATGTGTTTTTAAACGTCTGAAGGAATGGAAAGCAATAAAAAATATGCCAATTTTCAAAAAGCTTCAAGTTGGATCTACAAGCTTAATTTTTATTTCTGTGTACATTGATCGAAACTGATAAAGACTAATTAGTGTATGCGTGAGTAGTGACGTACTGGCAGAGTCCTTGCCTCGTGGTCGTCAGAGTGCTTGGAAAGCTTCACTTGAGTAGACAAAGAAGGCCAGGTTAGTGTATACAGGGTCCCGCATTAAAGTTTCTTTAAAACATGGTGATGCGCTGGCTGAAGAGTGGAGGTCCCTTAATGTTACATGGCTATTCGCAAAATAGAATAATGAAGAGTAAAGGAATAGATTACCAATATTCCTCACACAGAGAGGCTGCTAATGAAGTCCAGCAGGACTCTGCTGCTCAGCAGATACGTCAAAGGTCAGTTAAGGAGGAGTAAATAGTAACGTAATGTTTGCACTTCTGCTGGGTTTTCAAAAATAACAAAAAGGGAAAGTGTTAAAAGTAGCGGACCAACCTTGTGATACTGAGTGATAAAATGGAAGATGTAACACAACATTTACTAAAAATATGTAAATATAAAATGATACTTAATTTACCTGCAGCTGAGGCCTGGGAAGTAGCGATTGCTGTGTAGGAAAGGGGTTTTGGAGTTGCGTAGGTAATCCTATGGGAAGATCAGCTCATTGCTCAGCAGCAGGTCAGACAAGGGCTAAGAATGACTCAGCAGGAGATAAAGAATAAAACAGAAATCAGTTTTGCACTGTGTAGATTGATGTCCACTTGGGTCTTAATGTAGTATAAAATTCTGGTCCGCCTCTGCAAAAACGTAGGGAAACTAGGAAAGGCTGAAATAGGAGGATCAAAGCAGTCAAAGCTGTGTGATGACAACGCATCTGAGAAGCAGCTGAATTGTCTGGGACTGTGGGCTGGGAAAGAGGCGGCTCCATTAGGATGTGACAGGGACATGCAAATTCAGGAGTGCTGGGGCAAAGCTGTGTCTTTTGACAGAAGAAGTAATAAGGAGGTAGCCAGTCCAAAATGAAAAAAAAGAGCAGCATTTTTTCGCCCACGGCGTGCTTAAATTGTAAAACTGGCCATGTAGTTTACATGGGTGTAAAAAGTGACAGAGACATTAATGGAAGCAAAGCCCGTGGAGGCATAGAATGCAGAAGTAACACGTCTGGATCAGAAACTCACTAAAGACTGATCACTATAAATTAAGAGAGTCTGTAACCAGGGCAGTGCTCCTGGGTGCCTGTGACAGTCCTACAATCCTCTGGCATACGCCACTGAATCATAGAACCGTAGAATCATTGGACAAGACCTCGAAGATCATCAAGTCCAGCCACCAACCCAACACCACCAGGCCTGCTAAACCATGTCCCGAAGTGCCACATCTACACGTTTTTTGAACACCTCCAGGGATGGGGACTCCACCACTTCCCTGGGCAGCCTGTTCCAATGCCTGACCGCTCTTTCAGCAGAGAAATGTTTTCCTAATCTCCAATCTAAACCTCCCCTGATGCAACTTGAGGCTATTGCTAGTTATTTGGGAGAAGAGACCAACACCCACCTCACTACAACCTCCTTTCAGGTAGTTGTAGAGAGAAAGATGGTTCCCCCTCAGCCTCCTCTTGTCCTGACTAAACAGCCCCAGCTTCCTCAGCTGCTCCTCATAAGACTTGTGCTGTAGACCCCTCACCAGCCTGAACACTCTTTGATATGAGACACTGGGTTAGGAGTCCCTTCGGCACTATGCAGCACAACTGGTTTTATTTCCATCTCAGTGCTCCAGCATTTGGGTGAATTTTTAGGATGAGGAGGTATTTGTGGTACCACAAACAGAGAAGCAATGTGCTAAGCACTGCAACAGTACAAAAAGTGGTCTTTACCTTGTTGTCTGTTTGCATTGTGAAGAAGTAAGATTTTTTTTTCTCAGCTGTAGGTTTTATTTATTCTAAGTCTGAAATGAAAAAGAAAGAGGAAATACATCTACACCTCCTGCTCAGCAAATCCCACTAGGTTGTCTCTCTGAATAGCACAGAACGATTTGCAGTCTTGTCTTCTTTATTGAACTTTGCAAAACGTTGCTCAGCCACACACAGTGAAGATGAGAAACTCTGAGGTTTGTTTTTCCCCTCTCCATTCCCCCTCGCCAGGGAGGTACTTACCACTGCGAGCTGGCTTTTCTTGGCACGTTTCTCCGTCCCCCACCTCATCCTGCTGGAATGTCTGGGCCTTGCGCTTTGCTTGTGCAGTAGATGTGACAGGTGACAGAAGGAGGACCCGGGTGGCCTTCACCTTGGCAGCAGAGGGTTGAATTTTGCACTTACACTAAAAATCTCCGAGAAGCAGAATTGCAAGAGGGATAAGGGTCTGGCTTTTTACACTCTCTTAGGGGTGTAGGTGAATAACTGGAGTTAAGCCACACTGTATGAACACTGTCTCTGCAGTTTCGTTACTCTTCCCAGGATTGCCTAAAATGCTCTGAGAATAATGTCACTAAAAGAAAAAAAACACACCACACTTCAGTATATCTATACCAGCGTACAGTAATATTCCGCTAGCACTTTCAAATCCATATCTTGCGTTTATATGACATTCTATAAACAGCAGCTTTTTGCTCTAGATAAATCTTGTATTTAGGAGCTATTTGAGCACGCAGAAGTTGTCAACAAGTTGCATGATTACTTACAGGCTTGTGCTTGCATACATCACGTCTTACACTTTAGAAAAACCAATAGTTCTGTACATTAGTTCATGATAGGTGTAAAGTTTTTATTATAAACATGACTTTAACTGTTTGCTAACTGTATTCCTTTTGTCTACTAAAAAAAAATAATTCCTGAAGGTATTGAAAAAAACCTGTAGTATATTACAACTAGAATAGAGAAATACTTGCCTTTTCTTGCAGAGAAATGACTGTACAAGAAATCCACCTAAG